ATAAATTGGAGATGAGAGAGATATCGCTGGGCCCCTCGTATGAGCGAGACTGTAGAAATGTGTGGCCGCACTATAGACGAACGTCGTCTATTTCAGACAGTCGAACTCAGTGAACGAGAAAGCAGTCGAATCAGATAAGGTGGCTTGTCCATGCCTTATGTTCGACATATGATATCATGATACAAAAGGATCATCAACCGGAATCATCTCTGGCGTTCGTAAAGATCACGAACAAACTCTATTCGAGATAGGTAGTCATAGTGTCTTGCTAGAGACCGCCTATGACTTGTATTACCGGAATGGAGATTCTGCGTTTTACTGCTATTCCGGATGAGCCTACAGGGTCACACACAATAGGGATGGACAAGTACGTGTGCTAAATTACCCCGATTAGGAATCCTAATTGGATTGAAATTCCTAATTGGAATAGGAATCCTAATGGGATTAGGAATCCTATTATGTATAGGAATCCTAATGAGATTAGAATTCTATTACATATAGGAAACCTAATGAGATTAGAATTCTAATAAGTTTAGGAAACCTAATTAGATTAGGATTCCTAGTAATCCATTCTATAAAGGCGTGTATCAGGTACGAAATGAATCATGTACTGGATTGTAGATAGTCAAGACGGGATTTGTACCTCTCGTAAAAGAGAGAGATATCGCTGGGCCCCTCGTGTGAGCAAGACTGTAGAAATGTATGGCCGCACTATAGACGAACGTCGTCTATTTCAGACAGTCGAACTCAGTGAACGAGAAAGCAGTCGAATCAGATAAGGTGGCTTGTCCATGCCTTATGTTCGACATATGATATCATGATACAAAAGGATCATCAACCGGAATCATCTCTGGCGTTCGTAAAGATCACGAACAAACTCTATTCGAGATAGGTAGTCATAGTGTCTTGCTAGAGACCGCCTATGACTTGTATACCCGAAATAGGGATTTCGGGTTATACTGCTATGTCGAATGAGCCTACAGGGTCACACACGCAGGGAAGGACAAAACGCACGAGAAAACGACGGAGTAACAATTACTTAATTCTAAAACAAGTCGAGAAGGAAGATGTAAATCATAAACGCCAACACGCAAAGCAACAACTCTTGCTCTATTTCTGACACGCAGATCCGCTTCTCCCTTTGCCAGCATCCTACTTCTTCTTAGTCCCTGCACATTTCCACAAATGTGTGAGGCACTGCCTGTATCCAATACCCAAGAAGATGTAGTACATATGTTGGCTTCTATAACATGAATACCTGAGGCAGAAGCTTCACCAAGCTTCTTATCCTTCAGATCCTCCAAGTACAGGTGACAATTACGCTTCTAGTGTCCATACACTCCGCAGTAATGACAGTCACCCTTATCGGTCTTAGGTTTAGGCGTAGGAGCAACTTTTGCTTTCTTCGCCACCTTCTTTTTCGCTTTACCCCGCCGCTTCTTGCTGGAGTTTTTCTCAACAGCAAGCACAGTCTTAGGGACCACGATATCTTGCTCAGTCGATTTCTGCAACTCAGACCGAACGGTCCGACGAGACGAAAGTCGAATCTCGTCTTCTCTCCGCAGCGGCCACCTCCTGCTTCGCCATGCAGCCGCCTTTCTGTCATTCGGCCACCTCCTACTTCCTCGGGACGAGAAATCCGTGCCTAGTCCCGCCATCCTTTCGATCATTCACCCCTTAATCGCTCTCTCACTCTCTCACACTTTCTCCCAAAAAAATCCGAAACTTTGAGCTTCGATTTTGGTCAAACTCGATCAAGAAACACATAAATCAACTCTAGGAAACCTCCCCAACAAAGCCCCAAGCTCAAATTTGAGATAGGTGAGTGTTTCGGGTTAAGTCCGAAAATGATAATCAAATTGAAAATGGAGATTTGCGTGTTTTGAGTGTGAATTGTATGAAATTGACCTTAGATTTGAGTTCCTGATGTTTCAAGGATTAGTTTGAGCTACAGTATGTTGAATTTGGTCGAAAATTCGACACCCGAAAACCCTGATTCGCTAGATCGATTGGTCCAGGCCAGGACCGTCTGGTCTAGGGTTGCAGACGACGCGAGGAAGAAGACGACCCGAAGCTCCACACCGATCGGTCTGGAGATTCCGGAAGCCTAGACTGATCGGTCTAGGGATGGTCAACGGGTCAACTCTGAAGGCTCACACCGATCGGTCCAGTTCTTCCAGACGGACCGGTCTAGAGCCATAACCCCCAGACAGATCGGTCTGGACATCTAGACCGACCGGTCCAGGCCTCCGAAATACCGATCCATACCGAAACGTCCAGACCGACCGGTCTAGATCGAAGACCGAACGGTCTAGCCCTTTTCTGAATCCCAAATTGACCAAAACATCAACGAAACCTCGTCAATGTATAACCCTCGGAACGAGTTGAATCGGTAATCCAGAATGGACGGAACCCAATTTGATCGAATCGAAGGGTAAAAGAATAAAATAAATGTAAATGAAAAGGGAATACCAAACCCATAAGTAAAGACGTGTGTGTATATGATTAAAATGAGATTCTGGTATGAATGCTTGTGATTGGAGATCCGGGTAGCTGGCATGGCGTGAGACATTACTTCGGAGGGCTGGAGTAAAGTCGAGTGTGTGTTTGTAGACAGGGTTTGAGATGATATCCCAATGATTACGCTGTGTGAGATCTCCTCTTTATGATCTTCGACCCGGGTCGGGTTTCACATTGAGGAGACATGATTGTGATTGATCGCCTATGGGCAGAGCTTAGAGCCGATGACGCACGTGGTAAGGTAGTCTTGAGTGATTCGGCTATCACGGGTTGAGGAAATCTGACGGTTACTCTGTGATCGCGCCGACGTTCCACTTTCTATGGAATGGGTTCGGGAGTGATTCCCGAAAGAAACTGGCACACATTTACATGTGACTCGGGAATTGAGAGATTCTCTCGATGAGGTTATGCGAAAATACTTTGAAAGACCTGAGCTCGGGTCTGATGAGCTTTTCCGTGGCAGATGGCCGACAAGAGATTGTCAGTTGATAACTGACTTCGCTCGACATAGTCGTTGGTGGCCTAGAGGAGGCACCTGGCGCTCTGGTATCGAGAGGTGACATCGATATAAGAGGGGATGGTTGGTGTGATACGTTTTTATGAAGTGTTGGGCCTAGGTTGTTGTGTTTTTACTATTCCGGCTTCGGTCAAGACATGGAGAGTCCTTACCTACGTGTGTGATGCACCCGTAGAGATGATTTGACAGTACGGTGTCACTGATAGACCCGATAGGTCAAGCTATGACTTGTATATGTCATGGACTGGTGATACCAGATCCGTATGTTATCCTATGTGTGTGATACACATAGAGACGATTTGACGGTTGATGTCCGATGACTTGTCATACGGACTGTTTGTGTTTGTTGCATGTACTATTGTTATGGAAATTAGGAATTATTACATGATATGTTGCGTATACGTATAGTATGTGTATAATATTGCTTGTGCTTGGCCATTTGCAATTTGAGTATGATCTTCGGGTTTAACCCGAAGTACTCACTAAGCACATCGCTTATGGACGTTGTTATGCAACGTTTTAGGCTCGGAGCAGCTTTGGCCGTAGCAGGACGAGGGTACTGGTGACGAGTGAGACGTTTCCCCGGATCATGTATACTTTCTCTCTAGACGTGTAATGTATGTTTGTTGTTGACGGTGTATATCTACTATGTATTATATCTATCCAACGTCCTTATGTTATGGTTTGTATAAGGCTTCGGTGAGCGTAGGCTCATCACTTGCCGCCTCCGGTTCCTTGGCCTCGTCACTTGTTGTTCCCTTGATAGGATCGTCGTCCCCATCTCCATGTCTGTCAGACCGACCACTATAGTCTTGAGGATTATCCCGAGTAGCATGCAAAACGGAATCTATCGTTTCCCCGGGTCGAATCTCAGCTGGAGACATCTCCACTTGCACTTGCTCCTTTGTCAAATCGTTCTCAGATAAATCCTTGTCTGGTTCACAGGTCCTCACATGAGTGATTTCAGCCATTTCATGTACAGATCGCTGAGATGAATCTGCTTTAGGAATCGCATTCTCATCCGTTCTTTTCTCTGAATTCTCACCTGTGTCCATGGTCACAGGTTCTTCAACAATCGCAGGAAGTTTAGGGTTACCTGATTCGCGAGTTAGGCGAGCAGCGTTTCCTGCCGAGCGACGTTCACCTTGTCGGATTATCTTTCCGCTCCTCTTGGTCGTCATATTGAAGAGTGTTTCCTGAGAGAACAAACTGCGTGGAGAACCGCTAGAGAGAAAAACTTGAACGTGTGTGAGTTAGATGTGTGAGAAATTAGGGCACGTTCAAAAACTGCTGTAATGAGTAAATGAGATGAGTGGGGATTCAAAATTTAAAAACATTGATCGATTTTTCAATTCCCGTTTAAGCACAATTTAGCATATTCATATTACTAATCCATCCAGATAATCACAGATCCGAAGAGAAACATAATTGAAAAAAATTTATGGGAGAATCAAATGATTAGGTTAGAGATACCTGTCACGGAGATAATCAAATCTCTGAAATGATTCTCACGGTCACTCGTACTTCACACATACTCAAGTGCTTCTCAAACCTTCCACAACTCCAATATTGTTAGACAATCCGGTTCTGGACTTCTAGGACGTTGTATCAACAAGAATTTCTCACCATTAAGGTCCAGACTATCTCTTTTGAGATATACTCATGAGGATGCAATTTTTCATACAATCCACAGCGGAGTATTCTGAATCAGAACATAATTACCATTGGCACCCTTCTATTTTTTTTTCATCAGCCCTTAGACCATCGTATAGAAACCTGTCTAACAACTTAGACCCGAGCACCTCATAGGTTTACTCATGTCATGATTCTTTGAATTATACCCTTCTTTCTGAGCATGTTCATGACAGAGGAGTAGCAGAACCCTTTTGTTTAAGTCTGTATCAGCGAGATGTACCTAGACATGGTGAAGTACTTGTGACTTTCATTTTCATCTGCTGGATTTTCACATCTCCGGACCTGTACCCTTTCCTACACATTTGGTTCTAAAACACAAGGAAACAGCTTAGAGTTCCCCCACACCAAGAGATTTTTGTAACCCAACAAACCTGTTCATATCTTAAGGTTTAGTAAAAATGTCAGCCAATTGTTTTCCAGTAGGAACATATTCAATAATCAAGTTTTTCTTTTCAACTTGTTCCCGCAAAAAATGATGTCTAATCTCAATATGCTTTGTTCGAGAATGTTGCACATGATTTTTTGATATATTGATCGCACTCGTATTATCACAATGCGTAGTAAAGAAAGGTAAGTTGATACCGGAATCGGAAAGTGTTTGGCGCATCCACATGAGTTGAGCGCAGCAACTTCCCAAAGCGATGTACTTTGCTTCAGTGGTGGACAAAGATGTTGAGTTCTGTTTCTTGCTATGCCATGCCACCATGTTATTTCCGAGAAAGAAGCATCCTCCAGAAGTACTTCGCCGATCATCAGTATGACCTCCCCAGTCTGCATCACAAAATCCCACCAATTCAGAGCTTGTATCTTTTGTGTAATGTAGATCGTACTCCACAGTTCCCTTCACATATTTGATGATACGCTTGACCGCCTGTAAATGTGATTTTTTTGGTTTAGCCTGATATCTTGCACAGATTCCAACACTCAAGCACAGATCAGGTCTACTTGCAGTCAGATAAAGTAGACTTCCAATCATCCCTCTATACAATTTAGTGTCAACATCTTCTCCATCTTCATCTCGGATGAGCTTCGTCGTAGTGGACATTGGTGTTTTTGCTGACTTACTCCCAACTAACTCGAATATTCTGACCAAACTCCGAGCATATTTTCTTTGAGAGATAAACATTCCATCATCTGTTTGCTTCACTTGAAGTCCAAGAAAAAAATTTAATTCTCCAAATATGCTCATCTCAAATTCGTCGGTCATCATCTTCACAAATCCATCCACTTTCTTCTGAGAGATAGAGCCAAACACAATGACATCGACATATACTTGAACCACCATCAGGTCTCCATCTTCGTTGTGGATAAACAGAGTCTTGTCTACTCCCCCTCTTTTGTAACCGTGGTTGATTAAAAACGAATTCAAGCATTCATATCAGGCCCTAGGTGCTTGTTTGAGGCCATATAGAGCCTTCTTCAACCGAAAAACATGATCTGGATAATGAGAATCTTCAAAACCAGTCGGTTGTTCCACATAGACTTCCTCTTGGAGAATCCCATTGAGGAACGCACTTTTAACATCCATTTGATACAGTTTGAAGTGCAGACTGCAAGCAACAACACCCAATAGTAGACGAATAGATTTCAGATGAGCCACGGGTGCAAAAGTTTCATCAAAGTCGACTCCTTCAACCTGAGTATATCCCTGGGCAACCAGACGAGCCTTGTTTCGGACAATCTCCCCATGCTCATTCGACTTATTCTTGAATACCCACTTCGTTCCAATAACATTAGTATGGTGAGGACGATGAACTAAGTACCAAACATCATTACGCACAAACTGTTCCAATTCATCTTGCATGGCTTGCACCCAAAATTCATCATTCAGTGCGTCACAGACTCTCTTAGGTTCAATCTGGGAAGTAAAACACACAAAGCGAACCAAGTCTTTATAGTTGATTCGTGCATTACCTCTGGTTTGCCTTGGGCCATGAATCTCCCCGATGATATCACCTGAAGAGTGATTGCGATGAACAGTTATTGATGTAGAAGTTGTTGACATCGATTCATCTAGAGGTTCTGTGTCAGAAGCAGAATCTTCAGAGTCGGTCTTGTCAATTGATTCTGACTTATCTTGAGGTAGATCTGAGTCCATCTGAGTAGGGAATGGGGGAAGCGATACAGCAGTAGACTCTTTCAATGTATTTTCATTGAAAACGACGTTGGCAGATTCCATTACTGTCTTGGTACGCAAATTGAATACTCTGTAAGCTGCAGAATTCTGTGCATACCCAAGAAAAATTCCGTCGTCACTTCTTACATCCATTTTCCCCAAATATTCTCTGTCATTCGGAATATAGCAAGTGCACCCAAAGATGTGACATACTTAAGGGGCGGGGCTCTTCCTTTCCAGATTTCATACGGGGTTTTAGACATGCCAGGTCAAAGATATATTCGATTGATCAAGTAACAAGATGTGCTCATTGCCTCGGCCCAGAATCTGATCGCCACATCTTTGGCATGTAGCATTGACCTTGCCATCTCTTGCAAGATTTTGTTTTTCCTCTCAACTACACCATTCTGTTGTGGTGTTTGCGGAGCTGAGTATTCATGGGAAATTCCATGAGTATCACAGAATTGCTGAAACGTGACGTTCTCAAAGTCTCTGCCATGGTCACTGCAGATACATTGGACAGTTCCCTTTCCATTTTCCAGTTGAAGCACTAAATGCTGAAAAACTACACAAGCCTCTGATTTCTCTCGCAGAAATCGAACCCAAGTAAATCACGAGTAGGCATCCACACAAAACAGAACATATCTTTTGCCACCAAAGCTTTCGGTCTGCATTGGTCCTATCAGATCCATGTGAACAAGTTCTAGTATGTGTGATGTGTGTATCTCCTCACTCTTCTTATGTCGTATTCGAACCTGTTTCCCAAGTTGACATGCTTTGCAGACAAACTTATCGTTGTGAGAAAGTGTTAGGAGACCACGAACAACACCTGACTTAGACAACTTGACCAATGTGCGCATGTTGATATGACCCAATCTTTGGTGCTACAAATCCATATCATCTATCTTCACTATCAAACACGTCTGCTGAGTCACAGTTCTCTGAGTACTGACCCAAGTGTAGCAGTTGTTCGAATTTCTCTTTTCTATTAAGACATGCATTCTTTGTAGCAGTTGTTCGAATTTCTCTTTCCTGTTAAGACATGCATTCTTTGTGAACTCAACTTGACCAATGTGCACTTGTTGTTTGTATCAGTTACAAAACATGCATTCTTTGTGAACTTAACTCGTATTCCATTGTCACAGAGTTGACTAATGCTGATAAGATTAGCTTTCAGACCTTGTACTACCTCAACATCATCCAATCTGGGCAGTGCAGCATGATCAAGTGTTCCTTTACCTAGAATTTTACCTTGTTTACGTCTCCAAAGATAACACTCCCTCCTTTTTGAGTTTCCACAAAGTCTTTCAGTAGATCTTGACTTCCTGTCATGTGTCTAGAGCATCTACTATCAAAGTACCAGACCCCAGTGATGTTGTTTTGCTCCGTGGTATAAGCAACGTTACACCTAATATCAGATTTTTGAACCCACCTGAGATTCTAAGCAGGGTAATGATAGTGTGGTGATGCATACCTGTGAATATTTCTGTTTCTTTGCAGATAGAAACAGTTTCGTCGGATGTGTCCCTCCTTGCCACAGTGATAGCACGTTCGATCTTCTCTTCGTATGTTTTTCTTTGAGAATTGTCGTGGTAGAGAACCTCTGAGCATTGAGGAAGATGTTTCTTGGTTCAAGTTCCCTCCAGATACAAACTTGGGAGTAGTTTGTAATTTACCTCGATAACCAAGTCTGGAGAGATCACCAGAGTTACGACCTATGCCAAGCAAATGATCCAGCTTCCCAGTTCCATTACCAAGAAGATGAAGATTTTTCTTGGTTTCTTCTAACTGACATTTCAGAATAGACGCCTCCTCTTCTTTCTGAGTCAGCTTCTGTTTGGTGTCCATCAGTTGTACTTGAACTTGACTGAGTCCTTTCTCCAACTGTTGTTTTTCACTTATGAGTTGCTTATTTATTTGCACCAGCTTAGTCATATCTTTGAAAAGATCCTCCTCAGTAATCTCCTCATCATCACTGTCTGGTTCTTGATCAACTTCTTCTTCTATCACTCTTAGAAACACCACAAAGTTTGATAAGTCCTCTTCATCACTATCGCTCTCAGTACCCGAGATGTCCTCCTCATGAGTAATCAGAGACTTTCCTTTGCCCTTGAGACATTCCACTTTTGTGTGACCAAAACCTTTGCATTCAAAGCACTGGGTTTCCTTAAGATTTTTCAGCACACTTTCCCTTTTAGCAATACTCGGACACTCTGCCTTCTAATGTCCTGTACCTTTACACTCCAGACATTTTCCAGCATCTTGATCGCTTTGTTGTCCAAACTTCTTCCTTCCTTTGAAGAATTTGTTGAAATTCCTGACAACAAGCGACATTTCATCATGTAGCTCTTCTTCAGTTAGCTTCTTGTTCTTCACAGGTTTTTTGATTTCTGAATCAGCCATTTTCGTTTCTGCAACATGTAATGCCACTCCCCTTTTTGTATGAACAGATGATCCTCCGTTCATTAGTTGTAATCTCAATTCATGAGCAACGAAGGTACCTACAGCTTCCTTGAATGTGACAGTATCCAAGTTATTTACCCCTTCAAAGACAAGAATCTGTGAATGATACTTAGCTGGTAAGCTGTTCAGGAGTTTTTTCACCAGCTTGTCATTAGTGATCTCCTTCCCAAGTACACTTGCTTCATTCGACAAGGCACTCAGTTTTCCACAGAATTCTTTAACGCTCTCATCTTCTCCCATCCTCAGGCGTTCAAACTGTAGATCGATCATATCCAGTCTGTTCCTCTTTACTTTGGAAGTTCCTTCATGAATGAGTTCCAGAGTATCCCATCCACCCTTTGCAGTTTCACATCCTTGTATCTGTTCGAATTCATCATGACTGACACTACTGAAGATAATTGATAAAGCCTTCTGATTCATAGCAGAATCCTTCTTTTCTTGGGTTGTCCACTGACTTTTTGGCTTTGTTGTTATAACCCCGTCAATGACGTCAGTTGGTCGAGTCCATCCATCAGTAACAACACTCCAAGTATCTTCATCCAGTCCACGAACATAGGAACTGATTTTCACTTTCCAATTCCCATAGTTGGTTGAGTCAAGCATAGCCGTTTTTCTAAGCGGTTGTACATCTTTGAACCCTTCCATCGTGTGAGACTGAATCGTACACCGATGTGAGAGGAACCAAATTTTCTACGATCAGTGACCTGCTCTGATACCAATTCAAAAAACACCCTCACACAATACTGCAAATAAGAATTCCCAAACTGATTCTATTTCTTTTATATGAGTAAAGTACACTTCAATACTTTCCAAGTATACTCAACTCTCACTCGTTCCACTTCCCATATATGTATATGGTTAATATATATATATATGCTTATTCGTATACATATATGTGTATATATACACATCATATTTGTATATATAAAAATATATAAACACAAAATATACCTATATTTATACATATATATATATGTATAAATATATAAAATATTTGTTTATACGTATATATATACCTCCTTAATATACATATATATACACGTATATATGTATATATATATTCGAATTCATATATATATATATATATATATAAATATATAAAATAT